TGTGCGAAATTTAAAGATGAATAACTTTTATCCTATATCACATAAAGTCAGCAATACAAATACTTAGACGGTTTAAAACGGTAACTAAAATTAATCCTTTTCTGCCATTGTAGAGGTAAAGTGATAATGTAGTGAACGATAAAACAGTTAGGGACAACCAATCTCAATAGTTGAGATCATGAGTCAATTGAAGCTAGACTACGATGGAAAACCTGGAAGCACTGAACGTCCGTTTCGTCCCATGAGGTGGGGTCGTGGATGCGCGCTGCTGAGGAGTCCCACAATAGGACGAAACGGCTTTCCAGTGCTTCCAGGTTTTCCATGGTGGTCTAGCTTCAATTGACTCATGATCTCAACTATTGAAATTACTAAAATCTCCATAAAACCCCTTCTGATAACCAATCTATTGTCTTATGTAAAATTACACAATACCTTCTTAAAATATGGAAACCATACATTAAACATATTATTTGCGCATCTTCCTTCGGTTGTCCTTTATATACTTCGTGATTATTTCAATTCTGTTGTTACTACAATTGTTCTTTGTTTCCTCTCCTGTTCTCCTCAATCCAATCTTCTGCTGACAGGTATTGCACTTCCGATCACTGCTACATACTACTTATATCTGTCAGATAACTATGACAAGATACTCTCATCAACCCTCTCCTATTTTCATCTAGTTTTATCTTAGGTTTCCTTGGTTATTGCGTTTATGATATTTTTCAAGAGGTAGTTCTTAGATTTCAACATCCATAGATAAAAATTCCACGCGAATTCATTATTCTTGTAAAATCTGGATTGTGTGGTCTATAGATTTTTTATTTATTGTGAGTAGTTTTCATTCCTATCCAGTTTTTACAATAGGGAATGAGGATTTTTAACATTAGAACTTCCTTACTCTCTTGACTGTTGGCATCATCTCTGATAATATTTTACAGGTAACATGTGATTGCACTATACGCATTCCTATTCAAAATAAAAAGAAACACTATTTCTGGATTTCCGACTTAGTGTGTGAATAGTTACATACTTCCTAACAGAACTAAAGATTGTAGGTCCTATTCTATTTGGGTTCGTACTTAAAAAATTGTCATGGAGACACTGACTAGAATAAAACAATTTCGCTTGTGCTATAACATGATTTCTAGTGGTTCTCATAAATGGGAAGAAAGTGCGTTAAAATAACTCACCCACCAGCCACTTAAGTATTAAAAAACTAATGACACTACTCGAATGCCTGAACGGAAGTAGTTTGAGCGGAGTTTGCACCTGAGATTTAATAGCTAAAAGTTGATTGTTTTAATCATTAAACTGTAATACAAATTCATACATTCGAAATTTATATTTGCTGATTATTAATTAAACTTCATTTATCCTGTTAATAATCCGTTACAATTAGTCTTATATTTTATCTTATACTTATTTTGTTTATAATTTTTTTTAGCCTGATGTAGACGCTCTTTTGAGTACAATTAAACCGCCTGCTACTGATCGTTGTATTGATTCTACATGTCTTTATTGGACTCCTAATGTTAGTAATATCAATCAGTTGAGTAAATCGCCTAGTAGTAGTACTCTTAGTATTAGTACTACTACTAATCAAAAGGTTCTTCATAAATCTAGTCTTATTTCACCAAGTGATTCAATTGGAGCAAATATTTGAAGATTTTTGTAATCTAATTATTGTACATTGAAATATTGTAAAGAGTTTTGTTGTATATAATCTTATTATAATAATACTATTTATGCTCTTATTCAGTTTCTGATGTAGTTTTCAAATATAAGTTTAAAATAGTGAGAAGAAATCATATTGTTTTGTTACAGCCCATCATGTTCGATCCTGCTACCGATACACACACTACTTATAAGTTTGACCAACTGCCAGTAAGAGTGAGAAAACTATTATATGTCTAGAAAGCTTTGGTTAGCAATTCGAATTACGTGCGCTCAAATCCATGAGTCTGTATATATTTGGGTGAAACATGGATCTAGAGGCTTAGACTTTGACTAGGGGCGTAATCAACTACCTTCAATAGTGTGTCTCGTTTGCAAACACTGCGGTTATCAGTATTTGTTCGTAAATTGACTAACTATTTGTAGAGAAGGGGAGAGCTATGAACCTTTTAGGTGAGAATCATAGGGATAATAAAATTATTGACTATAAGATCTAAAGTGGTTTGTTTCTGTAATGTTTTGTATATTTTATTACTTTCTACTCGTGAATCATATTTCTGTTGTCGGTTTTCATGGCATCCCGTTTATACCGATTTTTTAAAATGTTTTAACTTAATTCGACATATTTTTGTTCTGTATGAGTTTAGTGTACTCGTTCTGTCTAGTTGTTCGATTGTGGCAATAAGTGTTCTGGAATAGAACATTAATTTCTCGGTTCATAAATACTTTTCATATGTTTAAATTTAGAAATACACAGTTAGCTGGTTATTCAATTCTTAAGACGTCTGTTGATAAGAAATAAATCTCTTGAAATAGTATGTTCTATACATCCACTTGTTCATGGGTTCGTGTATCGGGGATGGTTTTTTTAAGATGTCTTCATTGCGTGATTCTCCCTCATCATCCTAAAAGAGTTATGAAAATGGTAAAGATATTTCAGTAAGTAACAAGGGTACCTTAGTTTTACGATGATAATTTACATATTTTCTATACACTTTTTAAAACACGTTGGAAACATTGTAGAAGGTAAAAGTTGGTCAACAATGTTTATGAGTATTTTGTGCTCATCATATTTAGTTTGAATATAACAAGGAAATCTTTTTAATTCAATCCAGTAATGAAACAAAGATTTATATATATCCCCTTTAACTACACTTTTAGCGGTATCAGTATTATCTTACTGTTTATAATGAAGCGAATGCAACAGTTAAAGCTGATCATATAAAATGATTGTATGTTCATCACTTTTACAATCGTAGCAACTACTTCAAGCGGTTATATAATAGACTTCGTAATCGTTTTAAACTAATTTTTATTCCGTCTGATCAGGTGATTGTTTCTTAGTTGTGTTATCTATTGTGACTTGAGATTCCAATCGAAATCATGTGTTATGTAGTTCAATCAGGATTCTGATTATCCATTAGTTTACCTATGTGACCAGTAGGCAAGCTGACCTAGTTCACGAACTGACACACCGACTAATGAACAACACCTAATACGTTAACACTTATTGGTCCTCGATTTTTCAACCTAGTAGCCAATTAGAAGATCCAGACAGGAAACAGTTTACTTCTATTAAATTATGAATCAAAGAGCTTATGTCTACTACTCACTCTCTGTTATGTCTTCACTAGTAATAATTAGATCTTGACTATGTGATAAGGTTGTTAAATTTAAACGTTCTTGAATAAGTAAGCGTATTGAATATATTATGCATTACTGAACGGATCCACAATAACTCAGTACAAGTTATTGTCGGTTATTGTCACTCAGTGATGTTTACTTAATAATGAATCAAAGTCGATATTCAGTTTGGAGAAGTTTCAGAACGTACTTTGATGGTGTGATAATTACTGCTAAATAATAGAGTTAACCTTAGAGATATGGACTGTTGGGATTCAAAATCAGTGGTCTACTTACTTCATGAAGGTGCAAGTAGTGTTTTGAGCTCATGCTACCAGTTGAACAGAACTTTTTATGTTTTTTAGAGATTCAGTTTCTCACTCGATGGTTCTTTGTTAGAATAACTTTCTCTGTCTGTTTTATATTGTTATTCCATTGTCATGGTTTACCTGTACTAGTAATAAAATTCATTGTTTCGTTTACGTAATTGTCGTTGAAACTTTGTTCTTAATAAATGACTTTTCATGTTTTCATAGCATAATTTATTTTCACTGGTAAATAACATTGTTATCTGATATAGCAATGTAAACTCGATAATGTCCAGAACGACAATTAAAGCTTGTCAATAAAAAACTTTCTATTTTCAAGGGCGTTAAACAACTAAAAACACTCATCACCTCAGCTGAATATCCTCATAATACACAAGAGTTTAAAATAAGTTATTTCATATTTGTTTTGATTAGTTGAAACGGCTTGTCTTCTTGAGAATCATACATAATCTTATTTAAATCAAAATGAAGATTTATAGTGAAGCATTCAACAAACTATTTATAGGTACTATGTTAATAATTTTATAGTCTAACTCAGTAAGTAATGAGTAAAATAAGAACAAATGTTAAATAACCGAATAATTTTTATTTTCAAGCATATTTTTGTAAATGAAATTACATTTTCTATATAAGCAATTAATGTATTAACGCATTTCTACATTTTAATATTACCTTTCATGATAATAGTTTATTTAGCTCTCCTGTTGTTACGTTATTTATACAGTATAATTGCTCTTGAACTGTTACTTTCATACAAACTCAGTCAAACTGAATTCATTTCGATTGCATTAAAGCATGTTTGTTACCAAATAGTCGAAACTAGTTGATAATGTAAATGTCATCGAAATTGGTACTTTGTCTATGCTTTCTTGTTTCACTCATTTGAAGTTCTAGTTTTGATAATCTCTTTGCTATTGTCCATTTATAAGTTGCATATGAAAGACTTGTTATTATACTTATCAAAAATAATATTATTAAATTTATTTGATGCTGTAAACACCAGCCTTTCACCTTATAGAAAACAAATATTAGAAAACTAATAATAAACATTATTGAAATGTTTTTTTTCTCTGTCTATATTGTATAATGTCATTTGAGTTTTAAAATCTTTTCTAAAGTTGAGTAATGATATTAGTCTTACTGATGAAATGATTAAGAAGGATTTGATGAAGTGTTTGATCATTATGAAATATAAGGATCAGTTGTATGTGAATTTTTGATCCAATGTATTTCCATTAGAAATGAAAAAAACATTGTTGTTTACCAGTTAATTTGTTACATTTTACTCCATTAACTCCGTAATTTTGGATTATGGTAATATTGATACTATAGTAATGTAGTCATAAAGTAATGCCACTGAGTCAACATCAGGTGTCGGATAGAAGAGTGGTTAAAACACGACTTTCAGTCAGTAGGTCCCAATTTTCTTGACTTCGCCCTACTTCAATTCGAACTAGCTTTCGCTCACAAACATTTTGAAGCTGATTTGCATAATCCTGTACTTAATAAATAAGCCGGCTTTTTCTTAAAAAGATCCATAGTAATTACAGATTTGTAACGGTAACCTTGGTGGGTAGGTTTATTCTCTCACTGATAAGATCTAAATTTCAAATATTGCATAAAACCCTTTGATATTAACGTAATTACTTTTCGATTTGTACACTTTTTATTGTATTTTAATTTTTATACCTTTAAATAAAAACTTACAAATAATGTCTTTGTCTCACTCTCTAGTGTTTTATGATGAATGTTTCGGTGAGACTATAATTTATTGATGACCTTTGAGTTACAGCAATGTGACCTTGGAAATGTTTACCTACTTACTCAGGCTAAATGAGGGTTGTAACCCAATGTGAAGAATTAAGATAGTAATTTTCAGTTGATGGTTAGGGTTATCATCACGAACTGACATCAGCTAAAATGCCAAAACGCTATTTAAACAAGCGGATGAATGGATTTCGTGCCAAAATCCTGTTATCCTAAATCTGGTTGGTTCGTCCATAAATTATAGTCCCGCCGTTCTGTTAAAAACGTAACTTAACGAAATTCAATAAATTCGTCTATTATCTTTTTTATTTTTACCTTGGTTCAGATTTGTAAGAGTAGTCATATGGATTTAATTTTTGTGATTATTTAGCAATCTTATTTATATTATGAAAAGCTGGAAGTATAAAGATGCTTGTTAGTGTACGGTTCTACGCCGCAGTTTTATGATTTCCTTATTTGCTGGACATTTTATTCAATCTTGAGATTCCGAGGGAATTGAATCATCTATCTGTTTAAATGTTTTAAATGTATATCATATAATAGTAAAAACTATATCTAGGATAATCCATATCATTTTTGTCGGTTACTTTGTGTTCATAATGATTCTCATTATTGTGTCTAGTTGTTTTTTTTATCAACATTAATATTCAGAGTTAAATTGTTTATTCCTTATGAGATAGCTTTTGGCCGTAAACATCCGAAGCTACCGAACTGTAGAGACAGTTCTCCAATACATTTAATCTGTTAGATTAGAAGTTGACATCTCCGTAATCGATTAATTTGATGGAATCTGACAAAAATAGGCTATAGGAAACGACATTAGATCAGTCCGTAGCAACCTGTACCTCGTCATCAACAGACTAAGAACTCAATCATATATGGGAGTGCTGAAGTTTCGACATATCAGGACGATTTTATAATAACGCGAAGTTCAGAAAGTAAACTAAGAGCGATTATTTCAGAGGTGCTTAAATGTATCGAATAATATGGGTGTTAGCTATTCTCGGAGAAGCGTCGACTTAATCTGCAGTCAAAAATACTTTGAATTCATCTCTGGTAAACATAAGCCTTTATCTCATCCAGGAAACGCTTGAACCATTCAGTAAATGTCTATACCAAGCAATATATCATCGATACAAGCGCTCTTTGGAATGATAGCTCATTAAAGGACCCTCTTTCATATCCATCATGGAAGACGAACTCTATTCGGTCAAATTCTATGGAAGAATGTATGATCCCAAATGAACGCCAGAATGTGAAGTCAACATAAGGCGAAAACTACCTCAGAGTCAAATCAAACTTCACAATCAACGAACTAAAACAATGAGTTTCTGTCAACAGATGAACTTTGAATGGATGCATAAATGCTGATTAAATATCAATTACAGAAAAATACTAGTCTTTTCGATTAACAACAAATTTAAGACCGAGTAATCTAGTAAGTAATATGGTTCAGTAAGAGATTGGTTAACATTCTTATTTTGAAGCTATAATGATAAGGTGGAACTCTTCGCTTAGACGTCAATATGGTGATATTTCTTGGTAAAGACGTTAATAAAACAAATATACTATTCAAGTGTATAAAAATCTCTTATCATGAAAATAAAGTTTTATCACTTACTAAGGTCCATATATTTGGAGGTGGTTTTATTATAAGATGAATTGATTGCGTGATAAATGTTCGATTATATGTGGAATTAAGTTGATTAAATATATGACATTCATAATATCCTGTCATTTTTTTCACAGTATCATACAGTCTCTTATATTCTGTATCCCATAATGTGAATTGTGTTCCAAACATTGATGGATTATCAGTTTGATTGTCAAATGAATTATTTCCTTCATGTTTATCGATATGAGAATTTTTCAGTTCTGTATACCACCATAATTTATGCTTTTTTATATCATTCTGCTCTTCTTTTTCCAATAAAGTTACGCTCCAATAAATGAACCATTTTGTTGTGGTAGATTTACTTATAATAGGCCATAATCCCAATGAATTACAAACTAAGTCAAATGTTTCTCCATGAGATAATACCTAAACACATAATTTTACAAAAAGTGTTGTTCTATTTATTTTTAAATAAAGTAGTATATTTAGTTTTAAAAAATAGGAAACCCTCTTTTAAATAGTACGAACAGCGAGTCCTGGATTCCAGAGCTGATCAAAATATATTGAACGTAATGATTATCAGTCCTTCGGTCACTTCGCTGTACTAATAATTTATTTCAAATGATATTCGACTAGTGTTAATTAACGCTGTATTTAATCAATTACACAGGGTAATTGTAATCAAATAGACGAGTTGTCTAAAATATTCCCTAATAAAATGAACATTTTGAAAGTTTTTTTAATGATTTAACATATGGTTGATCTTTATTATGAATCAAGTTGTTGTTAGATTACTTTATCTTATGAAACTGCGTTATTTTTTTCATCAACATGTTATTGCTAATCAGATCTAAGCTCCAAATTCATTGTTACTTTAAAAAATACGATTCACTTATGAATTGTTTGAAATGAAAATATATTATAAGTCGATCTAAGCTAGACCACTATTGAAAGTCTGGAAGTACTGGACGGCCGCTTTTTTCTAGTACGGAACTTTTCAGCAGTGCGCATCCACAGTTGATTAAAGTTAGAATTCAACACAGTTGGAGGCCGACTCGGTGATTGTGTGTGAGCCCTGGGTCTGAGTCTTGCGTATAGGATAATGGATGTGCATCGCTGAAGGGTCCAATACTAGGATGTAAAGGACGTCCGGTGCCCACAGTTTTTTAGTGGTGGTTTAGATTAGATTGACTCCTGATTTCAACCATGAAAATATTACTATCTCCACAAGTCCCTTATACTGATAAAAATATATTACTTTGAATTCAGTTACTTTCGAGCTTCAAATTGGACGCATTATAACTACATACTTGTTGCCATTGATGAATATAAACAGGAAAAAAGCAAACTGTTTCAAAATAGCCAGGTTCATACTCGTAACCAAATCGATAAATTCCCATAGTCGATGGGTCTAAACTATGAATAGTCAAGTGATCATTTTCAACGATAAATAGATTTGAATTCACTATTGGTATTCCCGGAATATAATAGGGTTCTTTTGAAGAAGTGGGAATTGAACGAGTCCAGTAAAACTTGGATTTTGGAAAGCGTTCAGATTTATCGAATATTTTCTTACGAGAATTACGTGATGATGGACAGAAAAGTTTTAAGGGACCATGAATTCTCTGTGGTAGACCACCTGATGATATCCAGGCATCTTCTGCTCTTTGAAGATTTAAATCCTCCAACAATAATAAATCTTCTTCAGTATTTAATGTTTTTAAATATGAACAATGATGACGGTTGCATGGTTCCCATAATCCTTCACCTTTAAGTATTGCTTCAAGTGCAGATCCCGTTGGAGCATCAGTACTGTTATTAACTAATAGATTAACTGCCATTTCTGCTGTTTCTGGTGGTATTTCACAGTCTTCACCATCTTGCGACGGCTTCGGGCAAGCACACTGGCGTAATCTTAATCCCATCCCACGTGGTCCACAATTACGTGTGCAATGTTGAATGATTGGTGACCAAGAGCACCACTGTCCTTTTCGTGGGCACGGTAAATAACCTTCACAGAATACCTGTTTATAAAAATTTCTATACTAAAACGGAAAATTCTGATGAAAAAAATTCAAAAGAACTCAATTTAATACACGGAAAGCATAGTAAAACTTAAGTAATCTTCTTATCCTTTTTTACAGTTGTAGACTAATGAGCTTAATACAAAACATGTCTTGAAAATTTTCAATCATCACGAAGCACCTATGGATATTAAAAGTAAAGGATTGAGAGGTTCATATCAGTAAGATATCTTAGTAAAAGCAAATAATATTGAAAAATGATGGGTTGTTATCACTAGAATAAAAATTATGTAAACCAGTATAGATACCAGGAATAATATTATGTTTAGTTAGTTTAAGTAGCATTACGCTCTTCGAACTAGATGAGCCAGTTGCATCCATCTGCATTAATTCACAGATAATTTTAGTAATGCTGTCATGGAAATAAATAGTATGCAATGTTGACGTTGCATTTGAAAAGGAAAAAAGAAAACTCACAGCTGAATTAGATCGAAATATATATGAAGTACTTGATGATCTGTGAACTTGAAGTGAATGACGTCATGGAGACTAGATTGTTATGAATATGTATTGTGTGTTTGGAGAATATCTAAATTATTTATTTAAGAGGATGCAGATTTTCAGATCTTTAGTAATCTTTGTCTTCATATTATGTTATCCAAATTTATCGAAAAGAGTAATTGTTCTAAGTTGTTTATTTTTTCTAGCAATTGTTAGTTGATTCAATAAACACTATTTTAATTACATTAAGTTGGATACACTGAACGTTTAACGTTATCCATCACTTGACACTTTTTCTACGTGGACAGTTTAGTTTACTCGCAAAGGGCTTGAATGAAATATTAGATATACATGGAGAATCATTAAAGATAGAATCGGATAACAGTTAAATTTAAAGAAATAAGGTAATTTAATTCTTTCCACCCTTAGAAAGCATACAGTCAGTTGAATAAACCAATATTCTATTTAAGATTTTATGGAAGTAAATCCTATTCATTTTGTTCCTTATATAACTGGTTTTTTTGAAAAAACAAACAAACTTCAATGACATTTGATAACTTTTACTCTATGGAGCGAAGTTCACAGTTAGGTACGCTTGTGGGCTAGGGTAATTTTACATTATTTTCCAAAAGAAACGGACACTATCCAGACTTTCACGTGACAACCCAAACAGTACAGCTCAATTCTGTTCCGCAAGAGAGACAGACACCGCTCAGGCTTAAACTTTATAACCCGGGCAGTACAGCCAAATCTCGCTTTACAGGAGAACCAGATATCATATAGGCTTTAGTGCTATAATCTGGATAGTACAGCTCAATCCTGTGGCGCAACCACACAGGTACCAAGCACCCTGATGGTATGAAATGGGTGACGTTAAAAGAGTGAACCGTTGGATTTTGACCATTGGCCTAACACTAACAGACTCCTTACGTGAGCTACATTTGTCCTGAGTCGGATTCTGTGTAGGATAGTGAATGGATTCTAGTGTGGGGTCTTAATCTAATGTAAAAAAGTTCCCTAGTGATTCTTTTCAGTAGTCTTATATCTAATGTCAGTCTGCAACAAAAGATATCTTCAGTTAATATTTTGTTCTACGTGTGGATCAATGTTGTTAAAATTAACATGATATTGATTTGCAAAATACTATAACAGAATTTTAGAATATTAAATTTTGTCAGTATATTTAATTATAGTAACAACATTAAATTTTGTAGACAATAGTCTCTCCTGATCATATAGTTTATACTATATCACTTACAAAATTGACAACAGTTAGTTCATTTAGAATGAAATTGACATAATTGAGAAAAATGATTAATTACCTCTTGGTGGTCAGTTCCTATGCAGTATAATCCACCTTCTTGTGGTCTAGGATGATCACAGTGACGACGTCGAACACGTTTTCCTATGCCACATGTAACAGAACATTCAGTGAATTCACTCCATTGACTCCAACCACCATTAATAGCTGAACATAGGCGACTTACAGGACAAGAGACTTTTTCAATTCCTTCGTGTATTCTTTCGATAGATGCACAAGATTTTAAAATTGAATCTTTTACCTTAAATTTGTAACTATTATAATTAAAAGCTCCTGTACAAAACCGGGAACGATGTTTTTCATGGAATCTACAAGTTGTTGTACATTTAGACCACGATGACCAGTTGGTCCACCAAGGTTCACATTCACCACGTTGAAGAACTTTTACGCAGGAATCTGATTGCTTGATTAATAATAATACGAAAAAGTGTACTGTTAATATATTGGTAGGTGTAAAAGCAACTATATTAAGGGTATTACTGAAACATTTATCATTGAGTGAAATTACACTAGTAATTCTTACAATTTTTAATGAATACGTACAAAATGTACTTCAGTAGTTATAAATCAACATGGACATCAGAATAGGAGAAGACTGTAAAGACATTGTACTGTATGTTATTGGATATGGTAGAAACGACCAAATACATACGAAGCATTTAATGGTTGATACAAATACTACATCATGATATGAATTTAGAATTCAACTACTGAATACATGTATATTTGTCTAGCCAGTCTGTTATGTAGTGTTTACACTAAATAGTCTTCAAAAACCCCATATACTACTAGTAATCATGTTCTCACTAGCGACTAATTCTGAGGAGAAATTCTTGAAAGAATAGTGAAAAACCGTGAATGGTGCACTTCCACCATATTGGATGTGAGGCACTTGTCCATCGAAGACAATGAAGGATGGTTTTTCAGTAGCGCGAATTGATTGTAGTTGAACATGTACACCACTAGATTCCAGTTCAGCAGTCTAAAGGTTAAGCTCACACCGTGGGACCTAGGGATCTTGAGTACGAGAACCGGTTGGGTTGCATTTATATCCGTCGATTATCAGTTCGTATTATTAATGCCAATTATTCGGTTTCAATCAAGAGACAACTTATTGTCTGAGTACTTCACACAAACTTTTCTATTCCGTCATTTCGAACCATTTACTCCAATGTCAAATTTTTCTCACTATCAATAGTAATATAACTATTACGATTCCTTTGCTACTCCATATGTTAATTTCACATCTCTGAACTGATGTGGTATGTCAACATGAGACAACTTACATTTATGCTAGACTCCGTGTTGATTGTGAATAAAAAAGAGAATTCTTATATATATAGTGAATATTGTAAACACTTATTTTGATACTTACTATAAAGTTACTGAGCAGTAATTTATTTAAAAGTGTCTGATAAAATATCCTTATCTCTTTGAATCTGGATTAAGTGAACGTCTTGGATAAATCTTAAACTCCATCCACAGCTCTTTTAGGTCTACTGCCGGTCCCAAGCCCACACAAAGGAGGAGAGCTGGTCGTGGACTCGACAACCTCACCCTGAAGAAAACAACCTTTCTAAAAGACGCTAACCAGACTAAATAAATTAAACCATTGAAACTCTATCCTGGGAGTTAAAGGAAGGATTGTAACACCTCATGATGAAAGCCGAAATTATTCGGAATTCACGAGGCCGATTCCCCTTCTAACAATCACAGCAGCAACAGACATAGGTGCACGGAACGTCCAAACAATGTGGGAGACCGGGAGGACCATCAAAATAGCTGTAGAAATAGGGAGGTAAAAGTTGGGGGTTCTCGGGATCAGTAAACGAAACCCATTGGACCCAAGCTGGACAGTATAGGTTAGGTACAGGAGAGATGCTGATGTACTCCGGTCACGAAGAGAACAATGCTCCACACACTCAGGGAGTTGCTCTAATGTTGTACAAAGAAGCACGTGAAGCATTTATAGGAAGAGAATATCATGGATCCAGGATCATCAAAGCATCATTCAGAAGAAAAAAGGAGGGAATCACGATGAATGTTATCCAATGTTATGCACCCACCAACGATAGCATTGAAGACGATAAAGATCAATTTTACGAGAGGCTGTAATTGATCATAGTGAAGTTCACAGGAAAGGACCTGAAAATTCTGATGGGAGACCTAAACACTAAAGTTGGAATGGACAACAACGTTTATGAATGTATCATGGGACGACATGGACTGGGAGAGAGAAACGAAAATGGGGAGAGATTTGAAAATCCATGTGCATTCAACTAAATGGTTATAGGCAGCACAATATTCTCACACAAACGCATACACAAGGCTACGTGAGTCTTACCTGATCACACCACGGAGAACCAGATAGATCATATTTGTATCAATAAAAAATTCATAAGGACAATGGAAGACGTGAGAACCAGGAGAGGAGCTGACATAGCTTCAGATTACCACCTGGTTGTGGGCAAGATGAAACTGAATGTAAAGAAACACTGGACAACTGGGGAAGAAACAGTACAAACGTTCAATATAGCCTTCTTTCGAGATACTAACAAATTCAACCAATTCAAGACAACTCGCAACAACAGGTTCCAAACGTTGCAGGATCTACTGAAAGAAGAAACTACGATGGAGGACTATCAGAGAGAGAGAGATCAAAGAAGCACGAACTTCGACGCATCGAACGCTTGGACAAGATTCAACAATGAAAGAACACGAAGACAGCATCTAACAACAGCAGAACAAGAGCACAGAGATTCAAGACGCAAGTTGAATACACTGAAGCAAACAAGCAGGTGAAGAGGAGCATCAGGGCCGACAAGCAGAAATATGTGGGAGACCTAGCAACGACAGTGGAGAAAGCTGCAAGAGAAGGAACTATGAAACAGCTATATGACATAACGAAGAAACTGACAGAGTAATATAGTAAACCAGAGAGACCGGTCAAGGACAAAGAAGGTAAGACAATCACCGAGATTCAAAACAAAGGATTAGATGGGTAAAACGCTTTCAGGAACTCTTGAACAGGCTAGCTCCAATGAACTCGCCTGACATCAAAGCAGCACACACAGACATGCCTATAGATTTCACTCCATCAACGATCGAAGAAACCGGGATGGCCATTAGTCAAGTGAAGAGTGGAAAAGCTGCACAACCTGATAATATACCAGCCGAAGCTCTAAAGTCAGATATGGAAGTAACTGCAAACATGCTCCATGTTCTATTCGGGAAGATTTGTGAGGAAGAACAAGTGCCACTGACAAACTGGAATGCAGGGCATCTCATCAAGATAACAAAGTAAGGAGATCTGAGCAAATGTGAGAACTACAGAGGAATCACACTACTGTCAGTACTGGGAATGGCTTTCAACAGAGTGTTGCTGAACTGGATGGAGGATTCAGCAATCATCCAACTTCGAGACCAGCAGACCGGATCCCGTAAGGATTGGTCTTGCACAGAGCAAACCGCGACACTACGGATCATCGTTGAACAATCAGTTGAATGAAACTCGTCACTATATATCAACTTCATTGACTATGAGAAAGCTTTTGATAGTGTGGACAGGAGAACATTATGGAAACTTCTTCGACACTATGGTGTACCTGAAACGATAGTCAACATCACCCGGAATTCATTGCAACGTGGTGCATGGAGGGCAGCTGACAGATGCATTCCAAGTGAGGACCTGAAGTCAGACAAAGCTGCTTACTCTCCCCCTATCTCTTTCATCTGGTGATTGGCCGGATTATGAAGACCTCGGTATCGGAAAGGATGCACGGAATACAATGGACAGATCGGAATCAATCAGAAGATGACGTGGCCCTTCTATCCCATACACACAAACAAGTGCAGATGAAGACAACTAGTTTAGCAGCAGCCTCTGTGTCAATAGGCCTCAACATACACAAAGGAAAAAGTAAGATCCTCGAATACAACATATATATATATATATATATATATATATATATATATATATAACCAACATTTATTACTTACAGTATGATTTTCAAGTTTAGCACATAGACTGTCACTTGTACAATTTCCACCGATGCATTTATAACGTGTTGCAATGTTAGCAGTACATTTTGTTCCTATACCAGGACAACGCCATGGGCCCCATTCTGATTTACTATCACATTCCTTTGATAAATAATTCAAAGTATTTCCTTCTCGATAAATTAGTATAATAATCAATCCATAAATTAAAATAATAGTTTTCAAAAGCATTTTAAAAAAAAATCAAGTTGATTTGTATTCTTTAAAATTATTCTAACGAAATATGGGATATTTCAATGTTGGTATATATATCGACTCATTTTTAAATTTGAAATAATCAATAAGTCAATAATATATGTAAAACTGTGAACTTTGATTCAGATTGGATATCTATGAATACTTATGCACAAATACATTCAATGGTAAAGGAAATTTTTTTTTAAATATACATTTCAAAGCTTATTTTAACTAAGAGGAAATGAAGTATTATCAAATTAACATGTTCAAGATCACTTCGAATAATTCACTTATACATGTCAGCTAACTAACAATTAAGTTTAAGTAAGTTATGTTGTTCTGATATGTAGCCTAACAGAAAGATGTACATCATATGATTACATAGAAGGTTTATCATTATCCAAGCATGTAAATATATATATATATTGTTATTAATATTACTATTACCATGTCACTAAGTTGACAATCAGTAAGTAAGAATTCCTACTCTCTTTGGTACTTGATGTGAACCCATTTCCCTGGAATATTATCGGGAAGTAGCTTTATTTATACAGCTGAGTAGATTTGAAGTCTAATTCCTAATAATAATAATAAAAAATTTATCTAATTTTATAGTAGTTTATTTAAAATCAATTCATAATGGAATTATGTTTTTGACATAATTCCAAGTAATTGCTTCTAAAATTTAAAAAGATCTTTATTTCGAGATTTTATTTTATCTTTTTGATTTAAGTGCAAGTTATCAGATTAAGCCTATATTAATATTAGTAAGTTGCACGGGAATAATTACTCATGCGATTGAAATCTGAATTTACCTAATGAAATTATTAGTAGGTAGGTTTGAAATAAATGAATGTAGATTTAATTTTCCAATAATTTGCTTTATAAGAATATAGTGAATTCATCTTTATCATATAGTGGCTAACTTGATAAACATAAACGGTGATTTCAGATCACTGCAACAAAAGACTATAGTTATTTAAAAATATTGAATTAAATTATTCGAATTAGACTAAATATTTCTAACGTAGATTCTATGTTTATATAACAAATCGGGAATAAATGAAAGATATTATCTACGTCGATTTGTTCATGATTCTACAGACACTGAATGACATTCAAAACTTTTTGGAAAGCTCAAAGAAACTTAAATTCTTCTTAAGATTCAAAACTTTGTAATTTAGGTACAAAGTCTTTACAACTACGTCATTCTGGTCTTGTGTGACATATTGTTCAGCTAACATACGGTGATTACTCACCAAATTAGAGCCAGTTTCATAAGCTGATGGAATTTTGTTAATACCAAGGGTCGGAAAACAAACTATTTAATATTACCAGGTAATTAATTATTAAACAGAAGACAGATGAATTTTGTTTTCTAGTTAATATCACTTAGGCAACACTAAAAATCAAAACATGATTTGTTGAAGCAGGTCGCTTATTTGTCCCTTTTTTCAGTAGGTGTTCAGACGCATTCAAATCTATTCTGCTGTTTTGATTCACTTAAAAACTGATTTTTCTTTAAATCGTTGGTATAAATATGATGATAAGGAAACTGAAATTTTTCTGTTGTAGTTTTGTGAAGACTTTTTGAGAATAATTTTCTCAAATACTCCAATGTCAGAATAGTCTGAGGACAGTTTGATTGAAAAAATATTTTTAAGTTTACATTACGGTTCAAAAACAGTCAAACAACCCCTGAAAACTAGTAAGCACTTGACATCTGTTTCGTCCTAGTGTGGGGCTCTTCAGGAGCGGAAAGCGTTGAACTCCTGGGAAAATGAGCTGATACCCAACATTTGCACGTTTTACTTCAGTCGACTTACGGAAATAAGGTTACCAGAACGAGGATAGATCGTACTTCGGAAATATCGCCGATTGATTGAAAGTGAAAGTGTAAAATATTAAATTCTTTCTAGGTGATCTCAAAGTAACTAGCTGGATATAGGGCTTGAATGTTTCGGACCTTGGTAAGATAATGCATCCATGCTGTTGAAGAATTGCATACTTGGGCAAAACGACCGTTACGTGATCATTGACGTTTAGTTTTTATTTTTGTGTAATCAGTTGCTGGAATAAATTGTGTTTCAATGATACAGTATTGCTTCCGAAAACTGGTACTAAAAGCAAGAGAAACACTATGACTCGCAGATATAAGGAAGAGGATAAAAACTTGATGGCAGAATAAAATTTTATTCATCCTACAAAGTACGACAACTGTTCTAACTAAATACATCATTTTATGTATGGTCAGTCAGTCAGCTACAACGTAGGACCAGGCACATAAGTGCATCGGTTCAGGTTGCCATACCACATCAGCACAACAAGATGAACACCGGATTCATAGCAGTGGTTGGGTCAAAGGTGGTAATATATAAGAGAAAGACTGCATATAGTGATATAGTACAAGAAGAAAGAATTGGTTCGTAGAACGAAAGATATAAAGTGATTTTAATCTTTAGTTTAAGGGAAGACAGAGAGTGTATACACCGACGCCATTGTGATCGATTCTGAGCCATGTCACCAAGAGTCTCCAACCATTGGTTACGATAGTCACGCGGACCCCAACCAAGTAGTCTGTATCTACCAACATGGCTAAGACTAGAAGTTAGTGACTTCAAGCACTGATGCCACGTTTTGGTTTGGCCGCCCCTAACTTTCTTCCAACCATCCCCTACACCGGTTAGCATTGCACGTCGTGGTAATCGGTGTTCAGGCATACGTAACACGTGGCCCTACCATCTCAGTCGATGAAGATTCATAACCTCATCAACAGATTTACCATCATTCCCTAATACCTTGCGTCTAACCTCACTATTACTTACCCGGTGATCCCAGCAGACGCCAGCAATATTTCTAAGGCATCTGTGGTCAAATACTAATAGCTTACGAGTGTCTTCTACTCTTAATGGCCATGTTTCGCTGCCGTAAATTAAAACAGAACGGACTGCCGCGCAGTATACTCGTCCTTTTATTGATAGACGGATATCTCGCCTTCGCCATAGGTGATGTAAGTTGGCAAAAGCCAATCGAGCTTTTCGAATCCTTGCTGAGATTTCGTCCGATACCAACCCATTAGGGCTGATCAGACTTCCAAGATAAGTGAAGTTGTCAACGCGTTCGACTACTTCACTCCCTATCCTTAGTTCAGGTGTTGACGCACACCAGTCCTGAAGCAACAACTTGCATTTAGAGGGAGAGAAGCGCATTCCAAACATCCTGGCATTGTTGCTCAGTGCTACCAGAAGACTCTGCATTTTGTCAGCGTCTTCACCAAACAGGACTATGTCATTTTATGTATGGATTTTACTCTCATCATTGTCGTATATTATTTTATGACAGATAGAGATGTTCAAAGACAGAAAAATAATTTTTTCAGGGTTGGGATTTGTGGAGATTGTTGAATGCTAGTGAGATCAGGAACCAACTCATGTTGGATAAACTATTAAAACCAGAAGAGACTGACTTAATACTTTGTTCTAGCATAGGATTCCTGAGCAGTGGACCTCCGCAACCCCTCCATTGGTTGAAATTACGATCCTCAGGTTTCTCAGTAAACGCCTAACCTTGAGATCACCAAAACGTCACCCGATTGTGTGCGGATTCAACGTATGTGATATTCCACTGTCTTCGGTGGGTAACTCTTACGTCTAACACAGTTAAACACCTCTAGTCACAACTTTTCATCAGAACTCCTGGAACCACCTGTGGAAATAAATCACAAGTAAGGACATGATGAACTTCAGTATAGTGATTTTTAGAGATTCCCTAGTGTCCCCTGGTATCCAACGATTATTCTACTTAAGTCGGCTTGTATTTCCAATAAAATAATTCTTTATCATTTTGTAACATGATACTTATTGAATAGCCGATGAACAACTGATTTTGTGGTCTGTAATGATAGGGATTTATTAATTATACATAAATACATTCATTATGATTCTCCGTCTCTCTCCTGTATATTTACCATACCTTAAATGTACAGGTTGAGTGGTAATCTTTTTTATGACAAAAACATTTATAAGGCAAAACGAGAAAAACATTAAAAATGAAAGGGAAAGAGAAGAAGCAACGGGAGAAAGGAAGTGAAAAGAGATTAAACAGATAAACAAGTAAACACGGAAAAAACGTAAAAAAAGCATCCCAACTTGTAGGTTAATATGTATATAGATCGTTATCAATTAATGTTTAAATAATTAATATTTATCTATGATATTACAATTGTCAATCAAATGAAAATATGATGGTCAATTGCCGGTTTAATGCTTATTGTCTGAAAGTCGTAGATAATGGTGAACCTTTTAAAATAATGCTAAAATACTGTGAATTTGGAATTTTGCTTTTCGATTACTTTTAAATTTTTTACGCAAAGATTCATTATGAAAATGGAGAACCAACTTTGTTTTTACGATAACTTTGTATATATGAATATCTTTCCTGACATATTTAAATTTTTATAGAATCAGCTGTGTAAAAAATAGTATTAGTATCGGCATAAAGCTCCTGTTATATCTGAGTAGATGAATAAAAATAGAAACAAATTTAAGTTCATTTGGTGTTTGTGCTAACCAGTCTCTAATTAAGATTTTTGAGAGATATACAGAACGCCAGTAAAACAACCTAAAAACGAAACAAAGTATCACACTGAAAGTTCTTTAAGGAGAAGAAAAGGCATTATCATGTAAGGTAGGTGGTGGTTGAAGATGGTTGACAAGAAACCAAGAACATAAGTTTCGCCATTTGACACTCGTCAGCAAGGTGTAACTGCAATCCTGAAGGAATTTATTTTCTCTGACAAATTCAATCTAGTGTCACGTACCTTTGCAGTCAGAGAAATTACCAATGAGCTATTCGGGTCTCGACTGACTTCCTACGGGATTTTGATGCATTTACAACTGCAAAATCTCCTCAAACTTCGCTTTTGTTACTTTTGATTTAGTTAAACATGATTTCCTTGGTCTTTTCTACGAGCTAGACTTCATGCAGATTGTGAAAGGGCCTTTGTTGACTGAACCAAGTCACAACATCA